TTTTTGTATGAAATAAGGTTAAAAGTTACACATTGCAGACCTTCTTAGTTTTAAGTAGAAAATGAAGAAATAATGCTGAAAATTCAAACATTGCAGTCTTTTTTAAGTGCATAGCCGCAGTGGGACCGCACTTCGAGGACACCTTGAGACCGGAAGTCCATGCTAAGGCCACGCCGGGCCGAGAGACGCCATGTACTGCGGAAAGAGCACAATGCTGGGCCGAGAGACCGCCACTCTGGGCCACTGAGAGATCACCATGCCAGGCTGAACGTCCGCTGGGCTGGGCCAAGCCAAAAGGCCACACCAGGCTGCCAGTCTGCCACTCCAGGATGAAAGACTGTCATATCAGGCTGAAAGTTCACTTCGTCAGGCCGGGAGTTGGCTTTGCTGGGCTGGGAGTCTGCCACGCCAGGCCACAATGTCGGCCCACCAGGCGGGAGGCCGTGTTGCTGGGTTGCGCTGAGTCCATGACCGGAGAAGGAAGAAGACAGATGAAGGAAAGAAAACATCAACAAGAGAAAAAAAAAACACAGAATGGACGAGCTCTGTCTGAAGCTTCCTGTTCTATTGCCATCTTAGACTATGTGTCAGAAGTGAAGCACTGGCAACAGAGGAAACTTTGGGATATAAAGACCATGTCATGTTATTTTTAGTATTTTTGATTGGAGGCTAAAAGAACAAAAGTGAAGCACAGCACAGGAACAGGCTGTTTGGCATGTGTCAGCCGTCATGCCCTATCTAAACTAATAAACAAACCTTCTGCCCTTATTCAGTCCGTAACCCTCTATTCCTTCCCTATTCATGTAACAATCCAGATGCCTCTTAAATGTCACCAACATGCCTGCTTCCCACACCTCTTCTGGCATGCGTTCCAGGCTCCTACCACACTCTGTGTGAAAAATGTCCCTCGCACATCTCCCTTAAACTTTTCCCCCTCACCTTGAATCTGTGCCCCTTATAATTGAAACTTAAACCCTGGGAAAAAGCATCTGACCATCCATCCTATCTGTGCCACTCGTAATTTTGTAGACCTCTATCAGATCTCCTCTCAGCAGCCATCTTTCCAGTGAAAACAATCCTAGTCTTCTTAACCTTTCTTTATAGCCAATGCCCTCGAGTCCAGGCAACATCCTGGTGAATCTTCAGTGTACTCTCTCCAAAGCTTCCATGTCATTCTGGCATTGTGGCAACCAAAATGGCACACAATGTGGCCTAACAAGGGTTTTTTATATAGCTGCAACATGGTTTGCCAACTTGTGTACTGTATGCCCCAGCCAGTGAAGGCAAACATACCATATGCCTTCTTGATCACCTTGGCCACCTGTGTTGCCACTTCTAGGGAACTGTGTACCCGCACGCCCAGATCCGTCTGTATGTTAATGTTCCTAAGAGTTCTGCCATTTACATTATAATTTACACCAGAATTTGATCCTCCAAAATGCATCACCTCGCATTTGTCTGAATTAAACTCCAAGTGCCATTTCTGTGCCCATGTCACCAATCTATCTATATCGCATTGTATCCTTTCACAATTGTTGGCACTATCAGCAACTCCACCAATGTTCTTGTTATCTGCAAACTTACTAATGAGACCACGCACATTTTCTTACAGATCATTTATATATACTCCAAAAAACAGAGGATCTAAGACTGATCCCTGTGGAACACCACTCGTTACAAGTCTCCGTTCTGAAAAACACCCTTCCACTGCTTTCCTCTGTCTTGTATGACGAAGCCATTTTTGTATCCATCTGGCCAGCCCACTCCCTGAAGCCCACGTGATTTTTTGTACCAATCTGCCATGTGGGACTATCAAATGCCTTACTAAAAATGGTAATATTTTAAAACCAAGGACTGTAAGGAATTGCTGTACTTTTAAAAATAAATTGGCTGAAACTCTTTGTGTGCGGTGTTTGTTCAAGTGGTGGGAAATATTTTTGGTGGCATTGCACCTGCAGAGTGAGATTTGGCTGGCAACAAGTAGCTGATTGGTCTGTGCACTTTTGACCAGATGTGGATGTCAAAGGTCACCAGCTTAATGACAATTCTCTGACCAGTTCTGGGATAGTTAAACAACTTACGGTTGTGAATGATACAGTGAGAAGTTTTTGAGCTGATGGAACGGTAGGTTGTGTGTGTGTATCTCTCTCTCTCCAGCAAAAATACCTGAAGCCTGAAGAAAGCAAATTATATTCCCGACCAGTTACTGTAAGCTGCTGCCTTGAACCAGTAACTGAGAGAGTTTGTACTTATTGTACCAACTGCCCTGTGCTTCCTGAGAAGAAGTGAAAGAACCTGGAGAAAGGAGATTGAAGAACAGAGTTCTAGCCAGCAGAAGGAACATCTCAAAATTTTCAAAATCTTAACAAATTGGCAAGGTTTCAGTAGAAACTTAGGAAGCTGGATAATTTGAGGTAAAGAAAATTGAAGTTCCAGTTGTGTTATTACCTATTTGCCTGAACTAGCTGCAATAACACAGCTGCTGAAATCATGACAGCTATGTCAAACAGATCTGCAAGGCTACTTCTGAATAATTTATTCTGTTGCTTATGTTACATCAATAAAGTTACAACTGCAACTTAATTGAGGTGTACTGTGAGGCGTGCTGTGCTTGTTACTATGATTTTATTGACACTTCATGATTGATTCTGCATTCCATACAATTAACCTGACAAGCACACTGTTCCATTGGATATCCATGTAGTATTCTGCATTTTCAAGTTTTTTGCATGAATGTTATTGTGATTGTACAGTGCTTGCTGAGAGAGTCCATGAATGCAATGTAGTTTCTTGATGTGTCGGGTGTGTACTACACGCAATGAAGTTTCAAGGGTAGAAGCAATTTGTTTGTTCTTGGTACCTGAGGTTATATTTGGTTTTGTAGAACATAGAGTTCTTGCCTAATAGTAGACACTCTTTAGCAGACTGTTGTAGCTAGTTTGGATGATCTGTTACCTCCTCCAGGAAGATGGTTTTGCAATGAGGAGAGAAAGGCAAACTATGTAAAGTTATAGGAGAGGAATTTCCAAGTGGTGACTTGAGTGGCTGTGCCTACTTAATGGCATGAAATATATTTTAGCATCCACCTATGATCAAGGGAACTATTTAAAGGAGTGTTTTCTAGGTCTCCTTATTTGTGTCCTCATGGTAGTGGTGATCTTCACAAACCTGTGTGAAATGGGTGCCAAGTGCAGCACATGGAAAGTGGACTGCAGCATTTATTACAGTGTTTCAGAGCGTTGCAGCAGCAGCACGTGTAAAGCCAGGCAAGAAAATGTGGTGCTTGACTCTCATAACTTAGGGTATTAACAGAAGTATCTGTAGAGATAATGGACTCACTGGTTGTAACTTTCCAAAGCTTCCTGGATTCTGGAAAGACCCCAGCAGATTGTACAGCAGGAGATGTAACACTCATATTCAAGAAAGGAGTGAGACATAAAGCAGGAAGCTGTAGGCCAGTGAAGTTGTCTTTGGAAATCTATTATGAAGGAAATAGCCTGGTTGGATTTTGGAGAATCATAATACAGTTAGCATCAGCAAGGTTTTATGAAGGTGAAATTTGTTCAAATTCTGTCAGGATGTAATGAGCTAGGTGAATAACGTCTAAGTAGTAGATATGTATTTGAATTTCCAGAAGGTATTTGATAAGGCACCACTTAAAAGATTACTGCATGATGTTGAAGAGAATATATTAACATGGATAGAGGATTGACTAATCAACAGGAAATATAGCCAAGATAACTGGGTCATTTTCAAGTTGGCCAACTAACTTGTAGAGTGGCATAGGGATCTGTGCTGGATCATCTAATTATGATCCTTTACTGATGATACAAAGACTGGTAGAAAAACACATTCTGAGGAGGACACTGGTTCTGGCAGAAATTTTTTGGGCTCATTGAAAAAAGTGGGAGGCAGCAAGATTGGCAAAATGGTTGTGTGATGTGTTGTTTGTGGGGTTGGGTAGTGTCTTCTACTGCCTTGCCATTTTGCCAGCAGTAGGAAAGTTAATCAAGGGCCACTCCTGCCTCCACTCCACGGTGTCTAACTCATTGCCACACTGACTGCCTGGCACAGCTTTACCCAGTGATAATACCACTCTTTGCTCATTCTTGTGACATATTCTCCCTGGAGCTTTGAGTTCAGCCATGGCACTGCTAAGCTACCAGCCCTCTGATGTAACCTCTTGTAGACAGATCTCAATTGGATGCCAGCACTAGTGGTCATTTGTTAATTGGCAGCTACCAGCAAAGTTAAGCCTGAGGTTCTATCGTCCTCCGAAGCTGAGTCTTCTCCCACATTCAGCATGGCAGAAAGACATCTGTCCTCATAAGAATATTTGGCTCAAAGAGTCTGTAAAGGGATAACAACAAAATAAATAAGTGGGCAATCGTTTTTGCTGGATAGGTGCTGAGTATGTCTCCCTTTGCGGAGGAATATAGGACTAGGGTACACGGTTTCAGAACGAGGTGTCATCAGTTTAAGTTGAAGATGAGGAAATTTGTCTCTGATGATTATGAATGTTTGGTATTTTTTATCCTAGAAAGCTGTGACAGTGAATATATTCAAGACTGAGATTGATAAATGTTTGATCAACAAGAACATTAAGGCTCTCTTGGAGGAAAAGTCGAGTTGAGGCCAAGATCACATAAGCTATGAAAAAAAATTGAAAGCCTCGATAGCCTCCTCTTCCTGTAATGCTCTTAAGTTCTTAACAGTCCTAAATAAATGCAAATTGTTGTTCCTGTAGAGAAAACTATTCTGGTGAAAGAACAACTAAGTTGATGTTGCTTAATGCTCTCTTGTCCACATTTGTACAGAGGGATTACCTTGTTTATTTTAAATACATCAATCATCAATCTGCTCATATCACAAAATATGGTTTCTGATTTCACATATTTGATGCATGCATTGACTTCATTGTGTTTTTGACTGAAATAATGCTTAACGCTGGTCAAAGTGGATAATCATAAATACATTCATCTTTTTTGTTTCCTTTACAGAGGGACGTTTGCATCTCCAGGATATCCCTTCCATAACCAGCAGAGGGCACCTGGAGGCCACCCCAGACCTGGTAGTGGACTCTTCCTACTACAGCAACTTTTATCAGCCATCTCTCTATCCAGCTTACTACAACAATTTATACAACTATCCCCAGTACCAGGTGGCGGTGGCAGGAGATTCACCAGCTTCTGACGTAAGCTCAACACTGGGAGGGACAACAGTGAAAAACAGCCTTCGGGGCCTATCTGCATCATTAGTGCCTGGTCAGACTGGAAACCAGTGGCAGGTAGGTTGTTAATTGATTCCTCCATGACAAAATATTATTATTGCCATTTTGCTAATGTGTGTGAATATTTAAACTAAGCTGATAATTGCAGTAATAATGCAAGAATTAGAATTCTAAAACTGGAATTAGATTTTATTATCATGTGTCCTGTAAAAATCATGGTGTGTATCAAGGAACTTCCTGACTTTTTCTTCTGCAGGAAATACCCCAGCTATGAGGTTGAAGAAAAGGGGTGGGAGCTGTTAGAAAATCTGCCAGATTTTTGTCCACTCAATTAACCTATCTATATTTGTCTGCAAACTCCTAATGTCTTTTTCACAACATACTTTCTTAACTATCTGTGTACCATCTGAGAATTTAGCTATTATGCCTTCACTCTCCTCATCTAAAACCTTGATATAGATTGAAAGTTGAAGCCTTAGGCACAGGCCCTTGCGAGACTTCACTTGTCACTTCTTGACAATCAGACAATGACCCATTTATATATAAGCACTGTCTATTGTCAGCCAATCTTCTATCCATAATTATATGCTACCTCCTAATCATGAACTTTTATTTTTCATAAGAAGCTTTGATCTAGCACGTTACCAAATACCATCTGGAAATCTAAGGACAGTACATCTACAGGCTCCTTTTATCCACAGCATGTCACTCCTCATAACAACACAAATAAATTGATTAAACATAATTTCCCTTTGATGAAACAATACTGACTCTTCCCAATTACCTTGAGTTTTTGTAGTGCGCAGCTTTAATTTCTTTAATGATTGATTCTGATACCTACATGACAGATGTCAAGCTACCAGGCTTATTACTTCCTGTTTTCTGCCTCTCTCTCTTCCTGAATAGAGGGATTATATCTGCTACTTTCCATTCTGATGGAACCTTTTGAGAATCTAGGGACTTTTAGAAAATTAACAATGCATTTACTACCTTTCTCGCAGCCTCTTATAAGACCATGAGATGAAGTTCATCAGGACCTGAGGACTGTCAACCCACAGCGTTTCATCTTTGTTATTGTAAACCAGTAACTCATTATTCTCGTTCCTTTTTAATTACCTGTAGAAACTTTTGTAATTGGTTTTTACATTTCTCAGCCAGCTCTATTTTCTAATATTCCAATTTCTTTCTACTGATTAACCTTTTAGTTATTCTCTGCTTTTCTTTATATTCTATCCAATCATCTGCCACTCACCTTTGCAGAGTTAAATGCTTTTTCCCTACATTATGTTTACCCTAGCTTCTTAAGTTGACCATGGATCGTGGATCCTCCAATTAGAATTTTTCTTAATTGTAGAAATGTACTTATTCTGTATAAAAGCAAAATACTGCAGACGCTCAAAATCTGAAACCAATAACAGAATGCTGGGGAATCTCAGCAGATCTGGTAATATCTGTGAGGAGAGAAACAGAATTATCATTTGAGTCTGTTGTGAGCCTTTCTCAAAATTAAGCTCTTAAGAGTAATACCTGACTTTTAATGTTGACCGTGTTTCTCTCTCCAAAGATGCAGCCAAACCTGATGAGTTTCTCCAGCATTCTGTTTTTTAAAGATGCTTCTGAATATTCTGAAATTTCCCATTTAAATGTTTGCCACCATATCCTTATTGATCTCTTGCCTAGTATGTCAGTTCACTTCAGCTAGCTCAGTTTTTATGCCCGTATAGTTTAAAATACTTACTTTAGAACCCTCTTCTTCCTCTCAAACTGGATCTAAAATTCTATCATGTTGTGGTCGCTGCTACCTAGGGGTGCATTTACTCCAAGGTCATTAATTAGTCTCGCCATCTCACAATACCAGTCTAATATAAACTCCTTTCTGGTTGGTTCCAGAATACACCACTCTTAAGAATCTATCTCAGAAGCCTTCTGTAACTTCCTCATCCAGACTACTTTGTCAGAATGCGTGGTTCAGCTTAAGAGGTTGTAAACCCCTCCCGCTAGTGAGTTCTTTCCCTTACCATTCCACACCTCTGCCCAAACCAAAGGATGGGGGGTACAGCCAAATGTTCACTTTTTAAATATTTTAATGCTTCTTGGATCCTTGATTTTAACAAATCTTAAATCTTACAGGTTTAACCATAACTGGATTTTACAGACTGAGAAGTCCAGAAGCTCAAAGCAGGCAAGGAGAAGCTCAGTGTCCTTGCAACAGGGCTTGTGGGCCAGAAGCAGAAGAATGCAGAATATTTGCTTCTCGCCCACCATGCTACCTTGTTCCTGCCATTGGTACCAAACACTCAGCCACCTACTTCTTCTTGCTGTTGGTCCACTCCCCTCTGTCACCTGTTCCTCTCTGGGGTTTGGACATTCCCTCCCCCTTCTAAACTCAAACCTCCCATCATAGTGTCAGTTCCTTTCCTCTGCCCTCCTTTCTTTGCCTTACAGGGAACCAGGACAGTTAATCAGGTTGGCTTTAGGACGGAACTTATTGAAAAATAAAAACTTGCATGCTGTGGAGTTAAAACTTTCTGACCAGAGGTCTTCTCAACCCAACTTATGTTAGTCGCCACTCTCAATATAGGATCATTGCATTTGAGCAAACAGCCAATTGTGGTACTGCTTTCTTGATTTATTATGAATGTTTAATTTTACGTTCCTGTATGCTAATTAACAATTCAACTTGGAGCTGTACAGGCCAGCTGTGTCCTGACGACCTGTTCGGATATAATGATTATCCAATACTTACGAAGTCAAACAGTTTGATAATTTGACATCTCTTTAACTGTCCTGTTACTTGCTTTTGACTTACAGATGCAGATTAGTTTGTTTGTTACAATTAGGTTGTGTTCTTTAGATTTTGAAGTGCATTGTATATCTAAGACAAAGTGTATAATTTAAATTGTGTCTGTTTTAATTTTCAGAGAAATGAAAGTGATGAGAAGGTAAGCTGTCTTTTTCTTCCAATTTATTAACTTCTGCATGGCAATTTCTTACTCTTCCACTTGTTCAAATTGCTTGCAGATCTAAATACCTTCTTTCATTCAAATAATTGAGTTCATTTACTTAGTTTATGTTTCTCCTCACTTTGTGCATGTTTTAACCTTGTCTTTCTACCCGGGTCCATCTGCACAGCATTTCCATGTAGCTGAGATGTACATTATGTGACTTCCAACATTATAGTTCTTTGCTGTGTTCATGCTTCAGGGATAGGTGATATAAATATAACAAAGAACAGGAGGCCCAGCATATGTTACAGACAGAATTTCTGGCTGATCCTTAAGCAATCGGGAGGATCCTAGAGAAGGCATAGGTATCTATCTGAAATACATTATCCTATGCATCCAGTGTTGTATGTTGTAAAATTCATTTCTTTATGAGTTTCAAGGAAGATATTGAATTGGAATAAAGTGGTGGATGGAACTGACTAGTAATCTGAACTCTAGGCATTAAAGTATGAGAGAAACTGTCTTGCTGATAAAAACAAACACTGCAGATGCTGGAAATATGAAATAAAAACACAAAGTGCTGTAGAAACCCAGCAGGTTTGGCTGTATCTGTGGAGAGAGAAACAGCTTTAACACTTGAAGTTCAATGTCATTCTTCTTTGGAACAGTCCTGCTGATAATAGCCATGTTAAAAAGGTAGCCTGAAAAAATACATACGCATTCACTTCCTTGTTAACTCTGCACCTCGTTTAGTGTCCTAGAACAGTCAGTTTTCAAAAGGAAAAGCACACTCTGGGGAAACTATAGGTAAAATAACCTAATCAAAACGTTCAAGCTTTGTCAAATTGTACAGGTTATTGTAGAGAAGAATTACTGGGCTGAGACAATTGCTGAAAAGCAAACTCCAGTTCAGTGCTCAAGGAATAAAGACATGATTGTGTTGATAGGCTACTGAAGAAGTCTAACTTAACCAAAGGAACGAGTGCGAAACTCTTCAAAATTGTACCTGATGTGCCTGGATTTGCAGCTGTTCAGTAAGTTCTAATTACATTTATCTTAACTATGGTAACTTTCAGTATAATACAGAAAAGACAAAAAGAAACAATGCATAGAAATGTAACATACAAAACAGCAAAATTATAAGGTAAAATTTCTAAATACATTTACATTGTGCTCTTTAGAACTTGTGCAAATTTATCATGCATCTTAGTGTCTGTATATAATGACTTAACAGTTTTTTGCCATTACTTTTTGTGTTCACAGATAAGTCTCAATCAACTAGTTCTAGCCCATCCATTATGGAATGTGAATATATTGGAGAACACTGCGGATGTACCAGAACACATTCATACTGTTTTTACAGAGCTTTTGCTTGAATTACAGAGAGCGATCAGGCAAACCCCACAGAAGTTCTCCTCTCAGGAGTCTGGTGATGAGGAAAACTTGTTGCTTGGAAGCAACATGACATTTCCAGTCAGAGAGAGTATTTCAGAGTCAGCTGTTGCATGGTTGGAGGGCCAGTCTATGCCAGCTTCTCTGCATGGTTTATCGGAAGCTTCTCAATCTTTCAGAAGGTCTGTCATTCATTGATGCAGATTCTTGTACCACCCACAGAAACACAGATTTGAGAGTTATGGGGACTTCTGATGTGTACCATAGACAGTAACCATACAAACTCTAGCATCAGACTGCGTGATTTGTAGCTGTGCTAGGGTATGATTGACTGAGCTTCCTTGCCCAGTTGCTCATTGCAATGAATTTACTCACCTGTTGTTAGCACATTGGAGGTAGATCATTAATTTAGGGCCTTATTTATTTTTCCATGCCTTTGATAGCCTCTATTCCTGTTTCATCTTTTCAAACTCAGCTTGTGCATGGGTTGGCCCCTTCACTGTTGTGGACCAGCACTTTCTGCGCAGAAAATAGAACTGTCTCTGGAATGTCCAGGTATGGTACTTTTACTCTTGACAGCTCTGACAACCATGTATTAATAATGTGGAGAAGGCTGTAACTACACTGCAAAGTGAGCTTGTGACCATAATGTGATTTGTTCTCCATATAGCTGCCTGGTATTTCCCAAATACAGTAGAACTATTGCAGGTTAAATTGGGCTGAAAAGCACCTTTTTTTGGGCATAGCGTTGGTTCCTAAAGAATTGGAATGTCAAGCAGAAGGTTTATGTACAGTTGAGACTGGAGGGCTGCTGCCTCCCATCCGGAATGCACCTACTTCAATTCCCTTCCCAGCTGCAGCTTTGGCTTTCCCTGACACAGTCAGTTCCAGTCCCCAGGAAAACTAACTTAAAAGACCATATGTATATAATAAAATGAAAGAACTCAGCACCAGCCACTACCACTTTACTGATGATCCTGACCCCAGGTGCACAGGATAAGCCCTTACCTTTCGCGAAACCCCCCCCGTGCCAACTTTTGATGATAAGATCCACAACCTCAGCATCTAAGGCCTTCCATATCTTTACACTTATGTACAGGTAAAAGTGGAAACGGTGGAATTTAATCCCTGTTTTTGTTAGGACATCATTGAATCTTGTCCTGTTGGCAAGTGTTCAGCTGTAGTTTGGACTGAGTATTAAAAATAAGTGGAATTTCCGTAGGAAATTGAGAGAACCCTCATGGAAACTCAAATTCAGTGAGTTTACCAAATTTATAATCTAAAAATTGGCGATGTGTGTGGTGTCTTATCTTGAAACTGCTGGTCAGTCTATTAAATTTCTTTTCCTGCGCTATAACCAGGTTTTGTTTTGCATTTGTATACTATTCCACTTCTCAATGTGCCCTTTCACCAACTTAACGTGAGATCTGTTGACCCTCCAAGGGGATGAAGAATATGCTTCTTTTCAAACAGCTGCTCACCAACCTCTTCAGAGCTGAATTTCAAAGTTCCAGGGCCCTGCTGGAACACTTTCTGCCTCCATCCATCTTCCTTCAGCTCCAAAATGTTTCTTCACTACTTCTGCTACAAAAAAATGCAGCTCCCTTTAAGCCACAGCAGAACATGTTTTTAATCAGCCTGTAGAGAGATGCTATTACTGTATATATCTCTGGAGCAGGTGGGACTTGAACACAGGAGGCCAGAGGTTGAGACAATACCACTGTACCACCAGAACCCTAAGCAATGGCAGACCATTAACAAATTACAGCAGCACTGAATTTCCAGCACCCAGTAAATGAAATGAAAATAGAAAGTCTGCTTGACACTGACACTTCAAGCAGAATCTACCAGGCCAGCCTGGAACCTTTAGAAGTGTGAGCAGGAGAACTTACTGGCTGGGAGGCAGAAAGTCAGTTCCCCAAAAACAGGTTAAAGTTTTGCTGTGTTTGCACTGGGCTTTTGTTTTGCATTCATTAGTGTGTCAATAATACTCATTAATATCACAGCCCATTGGAATTACACTCATGAGTGCAATCTTGTTATCCAATAACAGGAAACCCTTGTATTCACAAACCCGACTATATATTATACTGTGAGGCATTGCTTCTTCCAAGCTCTGGCAAGTACAAACCTCACTGACTCGGCTTCTTCATAAACAACTAGTCATTTGTACAAACGCTGAGAGTGTAAGGGTGAACCCTGACTGAGTTGACCAGCAAATAAGAGTTCTCAATCATTTGAAGTCTTCTTTCTCGTAGTGGCTCCATGTGAGGGATGAAGCCTCTCTGAGTCCAGCAGCTCACCAAAAGTCTCAGTTATATGCAGCAAAAACAGAAGTTGCTGGAGAAGCTCAGAACTGAGGAAGAGTTAATAAGACCATAAGACATAGGAGCAGAAATTAGGCCATTCGGCCCATCGAGTCTGCTCTGCCATTCAATCATGGCTGATAAGTTCCTCAACCCCAATGTCCTGCTTTCTCCCCGTAACCCTTGATCCCTTTGATATTCAAGAACCTATCTATCTCAGTCTTAAATGTACTTAATGACCTGGCCTCCACCTCCGTCTGTGGCAGTGAATTCCGTAGATTTACCACACTCTGGCTGAAGAAGTTTCTCCTTATCTCCATTCTAAAAGGTCTTCCCTTTACTCTAAGGCTGTGTCCTCAGGTCCTAGACTCTCCTACCAATGGAAGCATCTTCCCAACATCCACTTTGTCTTGGCCATTCAGTATTCTGAAAGTTTCAATTAGATCCCCCCCTCATCCTTCTAAACTCCAGTGAGTATAGTCCCAGAATCCTCAAACGTTCCTCATATGTTAAGCTTTCCATCCCTGGGACCATTCTCATGAACCTCCTTTGAACCCGCTCCAGCGCTAGTACATTCTTCCTGAGAAATGGGGCCCAAAACTGCACACAATACTTCAAATGTGGCCTGACCAGAGCTTTGTAAAGCCTCAGTAGTACATCCTTGCTTTTATATTCAAGTCCTCTTCAAATAAATGCTAACATTGCATTTGCCTTCCTGACTACTGACTCAACCTGCAAGTTTACCTTGACAGAATTCTGGATTAGAACTCCCAAGTGTCTTTGCACTTCAGACTTCTGAATTTTCTCCCCATTTCGAAAATAGTCCATGCTTTTATTCTTCTTACCAAAGTGCATGACTTCACACTTTCCCATGTTGTACTCCATCTGCCACTTCTTTGCCCACTCTCCTAAGCTGTCCAAATCCTTCGGAAGCCTTTCCACCTTCTCAATACAACCTGTCCCTCCACCTATCTTTGTATCATCTGCAAACTTAGCCAGAATGCCCACAGTTCCTTCATTGAGATCATTAATGTACAAAGTGAAAAGTTGTGGTCCCAGCACTGACCCTTGCGGAACACCACTTGTCACCGACTGCCATCCTGAGAAAGACCCTTTTATCCCCACTGTTTGCTTTCTGCCAGACAGCCAATCTTCTATCCATGCTAGCACCCTGCCTCTAACACTGTGGGCCCTTATCTTACTCAGCAGCCTCCTGTGTGACACCTTATCAGAGGCCTTCTTGAAGTCCAGATAGATAACATCCATCGGCTCTCGTTGGTCTACCCTGCTTGTTACTTC